GGCTGGATTCAAACCCGCTGCCTTAGGTGTATGTGGCTGGCGCCTGATCCTTCATTTTAAAGGATACTTCAGCTGTCCTGAGAAAGAGTAGAAAAGAGATTACCCTGCAGGATTCCCAACCTATCTCTCTTCTTTCCCACAAGTCCTTCCAGATTAGCCACAGGTATTCAGAGGACAAACTCCCCAATCTTATCACCCTCTCCCCAGTTTTACTTCCAGTTATCCTGCTCTACCCCTACTCTCCCCCAAAGGTCACTGCACATAACTCTGAGCCCTTAGGTGGCCTTTAAGGGAGGGGAGGGGAGTCCTGCTAAATGAGGGCAGCTCCTTCACTCAAAACACAGGGCAGAGCAGACAGAATCTGCTGTAGGGTGGGGATGGGCGGCTAGCCACTGTGAGTTCGGAAGCATTTGAGGCATCCTGCCCTTCAGTCCTCTTTTGTTCCCACTTTCCCCTGTAGACCATAGTGACCTGGGAAGAAGAGCAACTGGTGTGTGTACAGAAAGGGGAGGTCCCCAACCGAGGCTGGAGACACTGGCTGGAGGGAGAGAAGTTGTATCTGGTAACCTGGGAGAGGACTGGGGGGTGGAGGTGGGGGGGTGTCACACATGGGAGTGTCTGGAGAAGGGCCTCCTGGTAGGTGCATCCCCTTACCCAAACCAAACAGTTCTGCTACTCCACCCCCAATCTCACTCCTCCTTTCAAGGAAGGCTCCAAGGAGGGAAAACAAAAGCATCAGGAAGAGTGGGAAGAGGAAGAACTGGAGTAGCCGTGGTAGGACCTGGCTACTCCTCAGATGAAGGCCCATGAATTATAACTGCAGTGATGGAGACTTCACCCACTTCACATCCCCTAACCTAGCCACCTCCCTTCCTCTGGGGTGAAAAGTTGAAGATTTAAAATAATAATACAATTCCTCATGCATCAGATATTGTCGTAGCTGTATCCTGAAGGATTACATGGAGGTCAAGGACTTTGAAAAAGGAACTCCAGCTGGCAAGGACCCTCTTTCTCTCCTCATTCTTCCTCTGTTCCCAGGAACTGACGGCAAGGGATGCAGTGTGTGAGCAGGTCTTCAGGAAGGTCAGCTAACCAGACAGGAGCAGAGGCCCTCCAACAACATTGGTCCACAGACCCCTCTTGGTTTTGGCCCCTTCAAGCCTGGATTGTGCCAGGTCTGCAGTCCCCATACCCTCCCTCTGGGTTCCTTCCTTATCCCTTCGTGTTAATCTGTAACTTGCAGCCCCTGGGCCAAAGTCTTCTCTTCCTCACACTCTATTGCCTAGGAGTGACCTCACTTCCAGGTCAAGGTCTGGCTTCCTGGTTGAAAAAAATGGCAAAGGGCAATGGCCCTCGAGAATAACCAGTCTTGACTGTCCCAGGTTCACTCAGTCTCTCATTTTCCTTCTCAGGAAAAAATACGCTTTGGGCATTTGGGGGTTAGAAAAAATTCTATCCTGGTGGACCTTTTGGAAAACCATGACTTGGGTTCAAGAATTTAAACAGGAACTATTGGGCTAGTGTTTTTGTCTTTTTCTTTGTCCTCATTCTGGAGAAACCTCCTGTGCTCAATAGATAGAGCCAGGCCCTAGGCATGCCTCCCCACCACCTTATCCCCCAGGGCTCAACAGACTCTCTGACGTCTGAAGGCATCCTGGCTACTTTATACTTCCATCCCACATGCTGGAGAAGATGGGATGGGACTGGTCAAGACCTTTGTCCAGGGTGGCACCTGTAGCTCAAGTGGTTAAGGTGCCAGCCACATACACCAGAGCTGGCAGGTTCGAATCCAGCCCAGGCCTGCCAAACAATGACAACTACAAGCAAAAAATAGCCGGGCGTTGTGGCAGACGTCTGTAGTCCCAGCTGCTTGGGAGGCTGAGACAAGAGAATCACTTAAGCACAGAGTTTGAGGTTGCTGTGAGCTGTGATGCCATGGTACACTACCCAGGACCTACCCAGGACAACAGCTTGAGGCTCTGTCTCAAAAAAAAAAAAGACCTTTGTTCAGTGCTGGGGGAGGTGGGGATCTTCTCACTAGTGACCTGGCCTCCATGGCTGCCCTGGAAAGACCAGAAAAGACTGAAAAAGGAAGCAGCCAGAGATGCCAAGGGATGGAAAGATGAGGGATATGGGGTGGACAGCAACCAGAGAAGCCCAGCAAGCCCCATTAGAGGAACCGTCTGCTCAAAAGCCAGCAAGGCTAGAGGCAGGGGGAGCTGAGGACAGCAAGGCCCCTCTAAGGTCCCAGAGTCTGGGCTGCCTTGGAAAACAGCCCAGAAGGGTGGGGCTGTTTCAGGGTCAGGGCCAGCTCCAGCCTCTGACCTCTTCCCCATTTGTTCCTTCAGAATAAAAGTCCCATGGGCAAGTGTCAGAGAGAAAAGGGCTTAATGTGGAGGTGGGGACTGAAGCTGGTGGATGGAAGAGTTGAGAGTTTGGAAAGTCCCTGGCTCCACTGGATTATCACTCTTGGCCCCTCTTCCTATAATGACCAGACCTCCTACAGAGAAAAGACAGTTATTGGGGCTCTAGCCAAGAAGAAATATACTGACCCCACCAAATACCTTGGAATGAATTTGGAAAAGAAAGAAAAGAACTCAAGAGTTGAACTGAATAGCTTATTTCCTGGCCTCCTGCCCCCCAGTCTCTGCAGAAGTCCCCAGCACAGTGGGGAGTAGACCAGCAGAAGCTCTGAGGGCTGCCAGCTCCTACCTCGTCCCTTTCCCAGGCACAGGAAGATGCTCCATGTGTACTTGCCCACTGCCCAAGCTTCCAGGTCAACACAGTGTCCTGCCTTTTGAGTTCATGGTGCATGTGAGACCCACCACCTTCCTTCCTCTGTGCTCTGTGCACAGAACAACAGCTGTGGCTTCTTCACTGACCTGAGCAGGTGGCACAATTCAGAGGTAAAAGCATCACTTGAGGAGTCACTGCCACTGCCTTGCTGGCTGACCTTGGGCAGATTATTTTGCTTCTGTGTGCCTGTGTTCCCTCACAGGACATGACCGGCTCAGCTGTGATGTTCTGTGACTGATCTCTTGTCTTGCCTTCCACACCCACTCCCTCCCTTAGATTCCTCTCCTTTCTTGGCTGTTTCCAGAAGAGAATTCCTCATGTCCCTGCTGCAGCTATAAGGAAACTATGGTCACCCTTAAAGTAACTAAAGCTTGTCCTGCTGGGTCCTTAATGGAGACAGAACCCACACGGGAAGGAGCAGACAGATGGAAAAGCTCTCTCACCTGAGGTCACTCCCCTACCCACCCCAACCTTTCTCCCCACCAGCTGTTCTTTCTTAGTAGCACAAGTGGAATGGGGAACCATTTGATTACGATTTATTAAAGTCTTGGAGGAAACAAAAGGAAAGGGAACAGAGAGTGACCTACACCTTGATTATCCAGGGCACCAATGTAGCCTCACCCATAAACTCCTTACTGTGGAAAGGGGGATCCTGCAGGATGTCCCACAACCGCCTTGCTTATTAGCAAGCACAGCACAGGCACAGTGTGCTTAGAGCAGGCGTCCTCAAACTACGGCCCGGAGGCCACATGCAGCCTGCCTAGGACATTTATCTGGCCCACCGGGTGTTTTTGCTCCTCTGCCTGTCCTGCTTAGCAGCCGACTCATCCCAGGGCCCACAATCCGGCCCTCCAATGGTCTGAGGGACAGTGAACTGGCCCCCTATTTAAAAAGTTTGAGGACCCCTGGCTTAGAGGGTCCTTTACTAAAGGTGTTTGTTTCAGGATGAAAGTCCACACAAAGCCTGGTGGGTATGGGAGATGTGGAACTAGGATCTCCAGGCTCTGAACTTATTCCTTTGGACAATCTGCTGGTGCAAAACCTGGTCCAAGAGTCTCAAGAGGCACACTATGGGTAACCTCCCCTAGGGTGGAAAGGGCATTCTATCTGGGACTGCTCTTCCCTGCTCATCTGTGCCCCCTTTTCAACTGCCTCTTGGCTCTTTTTAAACCTTTACTCTTCTCCCAAAGCCCTTCCTCCTCCTCAAAGACCTGTTGGCCTCCTGCAGGTCATTCTTTAATCTATCCAGTACAGCTACTAGATAGGGAAGAATAAAAGGGACCTTCAAATCTTAAGGTTGAGGAGGACAGAGTCAGAGCCTGTCTTGATCCAGCTTAATGCACCTGAAATACAACCATACCTAGCAAAAATAACATCCTGCTATACTGACTATACTAAAATAATATATCTACTTCCACAATGACCAGCCTCTGAGATGGCCACCAACATCCCCTGCTTCCTACTAGTCCTGTCCTTATGTCATCTCCTCCCACATTAAAGCTGGGTCACAGGCTCGGCGCCTATAGCTCAACCGGC